CGTAACCTGAACTGACGCATAAATAATGAGATCAAGAAGAAGTAACGTTAAATCATTATAGATAATGAGCTTTGAATAAGATCAATTACTCATGAGAAAATCTTTCTTTCTTGGATTTTAATGATTTCTTAACTATCTCATGTAAATAATTCATAAATTGTGCGTTTTAATTACTGATAGCTTCTTCATAACCATGTTTCGATTACCGGCTCTATCGGTAAAAATAAAATAAAGTTCAAAATAATYATATATATTTACAACTTAMTTATCATAATTTTATCTATTGATTAACTTGCAATTGTATCGTTCTAAATATAGCATCTAGAGCTGCGCACACGTCATTAATTTAATTTGTAGACAATTTGTATTGACACAGGTAACCCAAGCTAAGCATTTGTAAAAGTGAATGTACATCGATGTTATAGTTTCGAAGCCAAAATTTTGTAAATAAAACTTAGAATAAAATCTCGATCAAGAACTTTGCAATTTAAAGCGTTTTTAASCGATTTCTCCAAAAATCACATGCTTAGGCTGGGTTACCTGTGGTAGCGAGTAAGGTCTTACGTTGCCAGGTATTAGATTGCTTTGGTTTATATCATTCTCTCATATCAGTACAGTATACCTATTCAAGATGGCGGCGGCCGTATTTCACAGAAATATGGACGATTATTGAATTAAATTTGCATTGATTGACATTATATTTATTCCAAGTGAAGCTTATGCCATCGGGCAATCGGTTTATTATTCACTCTCATTTCATTCCAGTGCTCAAATTGAATTCCCGACGCGTCTGGACCGAGAAGGACTTGGCCTAGGATGACGTCATTGGAAGTGACGCCTGCATCATTCTTTACTGATATAAGGAGGGAGGACTGGTGAAGGATTCCGTAGGGTATATGGAAAGTCAAACTTTCGTTGAAAACGGGATTACAGTCTTTGATTTTGCTGGAAGTCTTCTTGTGCTTAATTGTTCGACGGCCATGAAGCAACGCAACCTCCACATAAGGATCTGKAAATCAAATGCATATATTTTATCAAAATAATGTCTTATGTGCYGTTAGTGGAGAAATTCCTTCCCCATCGCAAATCTCTAGAGCCTGTCAGACGCTAGCTAACTCTCTTAGACGAATAATTCTAAATCTTTCTCAGCAGTCACATTCCTTCTCGTCTGATCAAACCATGAAACCTCAACAAAGCTATAAAAGCAAATTGGCATTCTCCGCCAGTATACCTGGTGTACGGTCTGTGTCCGGCAGATGGAGATTTTTAGCTGAAATTATAACTACAGCWAGTCTCTCAATCAAGCGTAGGTATCCTAGCGACAACATGATGTSACCATTCGATGAAATTTCCTGCAAGGAATAAATGTTTATCAAAAATGGTTATGACAATGAAATCGGGTTTACTGTTGACGATACTATATGTTTTCAACTGGACAGCCTTGTTGATAGCTATTTCAGGCGCGTTAAATGCTGTATTCTGCATAGTCGTCCAAGACCGCAATACATTGTTGCCATTATACTCAACGGAATTTATACTAATTTGGGATTCCTGTGTCATATATTACTATCAGGGGTGGCTAATATGGCTAAGGTTGATTTGCAGGGGGGCATCATTTGCAATAGATTGACACCCCTAATTCGTACGAACACATGACCCATCTGGCATCTTTGCAAGTGCTTTGGTAAGCAACAGTGTTCAGCAAGGTTTTTTATGACAATATTTTTCATGTTATCAGAACTACATAACCATTTGTACTTCTGACGTTATTGAATTTTTTTATACACCTTAAAACTTCGAAAACTCCTACGAAAACTCCTATTTTACGGCGATAGAACGACCAGCAATGCATTGCCGTCTTGAAATACACTATATCCAGCAGAAGTCAACGTTTTCTGAAGTAGCTGTAAATGGTATATGACACTCATTTTGACAGTGAAACGCCCCTTTAAGCCGAAAACTCTCAATCTAATATAAAATCCTATTGTTACTTACGGYAGTTTTCTTAGAAAGCTCTTTACACAGTAAAATTTCCCTGGACAAAGTGAGCCCACGCGGTTCCACTTCAGCGAGCTCTACCATTAGATCCCCGATGACGTCATGATGCGAAAAGCGATCAAAGTAGGACAACATTAGCTTGAGACTCTGGACGAGGAGGCTTGGTTCGAGTATATCAAATTCAAAGAGTTCATTAAATTGAAGTGGATTACCGCTCTCTATTGCCCTGGTGTGAAAAGTGCGGTGTGGCTGGGGAAAGATTCTCAAGGTGACGTAATAAGCCACGTCACCTTTGCCTCGTTTTGGTACATTTTGTACTCCCAATACGTGGACAGCAAGCGTGGACCTGCAAGACGCCATAACATCAAAAATARGTCTCGGTGAAGATAACGCGTAGAACCTATACTATAGAATTAACCCTTCTTGATTGCTCTCTTGAACTAGCYATCTTATACCAGGCAAAATTCATAGCSTTAGCGAAAAGTATTCAAAGAAAATTAATTCACTGAAAGCAGACGCAACATTTTAAGTTTTAAACAAGACATGTKTCAGCTTTTAATAAGCCACCTTAGACCATTTCCAATTTAATTTACAAAATACAAACATCTTTATAAAACATTTAACAATTCCTATATTACAGAGTTTTAACTCTGATTAAAATTAGTTTAAAACTGATTTACAAGTCACCTACCTGACCGTATTGTATTTAAGAGTGAATTTTACTTTGGGAGGTTTGACAGGTGCTTCCTCTGTCCCTGCACTTGATGAGCTTTCTGCTAATTGTTCTTCGCTCTTTTAGGAAAGAGAAATGATCAATAGCGTCACCGTGTTCGCACATCGCGCAGGACGGGTATAAACTGATTAATGCTTTCTAATTTCTCGTGCGACTTAGAAAAGAACAAGGGCATGACGGGCTAGTCCAGACCTTTAGGATGCAGGACCCTGAGAGAATTTTACCAATGTTCGAACAGTCAGTTTTGCCTCCGTATGTCACAACTGTTTTATCATGCAGACGAGCACACATGCCTATTGCAGAGCGCGCGCTATAGTTGTCTATAGGCCGAGTTAGACTGCACAACTTTTGCTTACAGCCATCGCATGCGACGACCTGCGTAAGTCATCCTTACATAGCTACAATTGTCGTAGGAATTTAAAACACTGATTGCTTAATAGCCGCACAACAGTTGTAGCCATATTGACTTACGCAGGTCGCATGCGATGGTTGTAGGCAAAAGTTGTGCCGTCTAATTCGGCCTTATCATATGTGCAACTCTTGGTACTAGCGACGTACGAACCTTCTGTAGATCCTCATAAGTTCTGGGTTGTATACCAACACGTCGGGAATTGAAAATTTTTGATGGAATACCTGGGAAAATAAAAAAAATACTAAGTACTCCAGAAAATATGTCAGACAATAGAGTTCCWAGTCTTCTGGCATGTGCCCGCTCATTTTGATTCACGCAAGCATAAAAAAACTTAGTCTGCTTATGTTTTTGTTATTATATATTCATGTAATTTAAAGGCCCGTTTACACTTGMAATTTTTGCAGAGCGATTTTTGCGGCGAAAGTCGCGCGACCATTGCCTGAGTTTCGGACAAGCTTGAAAATGCTCCATCGCCGCAACAATCGCAGGGATGTTTACACGTACGTTTTTAGTTGCTCGCTGCAAAATGGCAAGTGTAAACGGGCCTTGAAACACCGAGATATTTTTTTTGCCTGACGTTCTTTATCATAAAGGACGTGGAACTCCAACAATCGGCTTTTTGTGCTTTGCTAACCATCTCTTGTTTTGTCTTTTCCCAGCTCGCTGCACGCGCTTTGTAAACCGATAAGACACATGGCGCGCACGACCGCATTAGATTCAAGGTGTAAAATAAACAAGACCCAAACAAATGTATCATTACCTTGAGAGCCTTGGTATATATCAAAGTTATCCCAATCTAGGCTATTGTCTTCTGCATTTACTTTTGAAAACAGYCCCCACYTGATTTCGGTTCCTTCGTCGTTGTTGGGTTTTGAGGAGCGATACGAGCGAACAATGAAGATATAAGCAACAACTAGAATAAACACTATAAACACGGTAGCTGTGAAGATGACGTATTCCAGCATGGAGAAATCACATTTGGTTTGCCTGGGGAGGATTTCAAATGAGTAAAACATGAGCTATAACAGTAATAGAGTACAAGCAATAATGTGAGAAATTACTAGAGGGAACTTATTAAAACTGTGAAACAGAATTTAACTATAAAATTGTGATAGTCAAATAGACGCAAATGGAAACAATGCAATAGACAACGTGCAGCGACGCCATTTTGTGAAGCAAAGCATGATATAATTAAGTTGCAGTCCTCGTACTTTTTTATGTCCGTTGAAACAGTTCTCCTAAGCTGTTTTTGCTTTAATTTTTCTGAGCAACAATAGAAATAATTGTACCGTTTCTTCAAAGAAAACATAAAAAAGTCTTTAAAGGAGATATTTTAGTGTCTATAATACTACGAGGACTACAACYACCATCATGCTTTACTATACAAAATGGCRTTGCTGTACATTTTCTATTAGATAGTACTAATAAGTGTATTAGTGCAGTGTGATATTTATATTTCACGGGTTTTGTTRACTTAATTTTAACCAAATGCTAATCATATACTATTTAACAATTAGACCTCGAGGTCGAGTGGACTACGAGCTAATAGCCCATGAGGACGAGTCCGCGAGGCCGAATGGGCTATTAGCTSGTAGTCCACGAGGCCGAGAGGTCTAATTGTTTTAGTATAAACATACTAATCRGTCAAATAATGAAAACAAATTGAAATATCCTTAAAATAATTTATACTTTATAATTTATTTATTTTGATTTTCCCGCGAGTGGTCTATCACAAATTAGACTATTAGTAGAGCAGCCAATCACAGCGCAGTATGAGTGATAGACCATTAGTATGTTTATACTAAAACGCAATATAGTGTACCCGCTACCTGTAGGGGGCGTCCCGCGGGTACCTCTTTTAACCCTGACCCTATTCCAAGTAGACAGCAAAACTCATTAAATTTATACCCGGCTATTCAAGACAAATTGGTAYTAGAAATGTAGACGGTAGATGTCAATATGTCATTATTTAATTTTTTGTCATTTTGACTTTATGGGCCGGCAACTAGATAAATATTGACACCTTGTATTAGACGTGGTAAACATAAAAAGTACACCTCTATTTAAGATAAATGAATGTAGTGTAGATTAGACAATAGAAAACAATAGAATTCGCATAATTAAGTACAATTTAGCACTATTTAACTAAGAAACTTTATCAAGGTTTTAGAGCGCTAAGGTTTAGTGTTTGAACTATAGTATCATGAATATATTTTGCAGAGCGATTCTCGCGGCGATCGTCGTGCAACCATCGCCTGAGTTTCGAGCATGCTTGAAAATTGRCTGCAACTCCGCGGCGATTTTCCATCGTCGCAACAATCGCAGGGMTGTTTACACGTACGATTGGAGTTGCGCGTTTGCAAAGTGGCAATTGTCGCGCTACAAAAATCGCAAGTGTAAACGAGCCTTTATAATAATGTGGAGATTATTAAGTATTACTTTGATGGCTATCAATKAAGCTATAATTCACCCATCTTGAATTTCAGAAAGACCAATTAGAGTTATACAAATCAAGGGTTACACAGCGACTCCATGGATCCGTACGATAGTAACATTCATAGATAATTTCCTATACTTTTTCTGATTTCTTTTCAACTGTTTCATTTCAATTTTGTGTGCTAATCTGAGCTAATCTGAATTTGTTTCAATAATCTGAGCTGAATACAATACATATAAAACATAATATAACATATATTATATATTATAAAACAACAACAAACAAACGAACAGATGAAAAACAAAAACAAAACTAAGCACTTTGTAGCTGGAATTTAGTTATAGAAACGATTTCAACAACAACAACAACAACAACAACAACAACAACAACCACAGCATTAATAGCAACAACAGCAAGAGAGTCATTACGTGATTGCTCTCTCTCTCTCTCTCTCTCTGATCAGTAATGTCCCTTGAATCACATAAGTATTAAATTATTTTTAAATGAAAACAATCGTCAAAGAGTCATCAATGAAACAGAGACGCCTCCAGGGTAAATGTGCTATCTGTTGAAAGTAAGTAATCCAAACCGCGTCAGATCGCAGCCAAAAATCTCCAGTCAAAAAGCCTCTTAATAATTCAATAAAAATATTTGCCCACAGACAACACACATCACCAACAATAGATCTGTCCTCTGTCAACAATTCTTACCCGCTGTCAAAGGATGTAGCATTCAAGAATCCATCATTCATGATGCGCTTTTTTCCTCCACCTTTTTCAAACCGGCTCTCGGAAGCATTCTTTGCCGTACCTCCGACTCAAAGGCAGTTCGAAGTCCATCAAAAACAGGGCAATTAATTAAATAAGCTAATTTCAAATCAAATGYAAACTATAATGCGTGACATAATTGCCGCGGTAAATATAATCTATTACTACACCAGGGTGGCAATTCAACTATTATAAATTCCCGCGAGAAATTACAGCTTCGGTCAACCGTGGAAAATTAGGAAGGCGCACGTTTAATCAAATTCGCTTCGCTGCCACAATCGTAAGAGTAGACACAATYGTAAGGTTAAAACATACACTTATCAACAAAGCTCAACTAAATCCCTTTGAGCAATATTTTCTTTCTAAATGTTGTAACATAGCTACTATGAGTCTACTAACTATGGTTAAGCATCCATAGCTCATTTGGCTCTTATTACCTTGTATTGTATGAATTTGTGCCAAAATGCAGTTCTTTTGTCATTTTATGTTTGTATTATTGTGAATATTTTCAAAAGCCTTTTATCCTTAACATTAACCGAAAATCCCTGAAAAGTTAAAAACACTTTTGTAAATTATTGTGTGAATTCCTCAATATTATTTATTGGCTTTTTATCGTTTTAAAACTCTTTTCATTCAGAGAACTAGACGTAAAAAGTAGGCTTAAATAATTTGTGTGCTCATGCGAAAAAAACGCGCCCTTAAAAAAACGATAAAGTGTAACAATTTCACAACTGTATACTTTTCTAATAATGAATATTTCTGATCTATAAAAAGAGCATTACATGAAACAATAAGTTGGTATTAAATATAAAAAAGACAGCTACAGTAAATAAACTACATTTGTATACAAAAGTACGTTTAATATGAATAAAAATAAAAAAAATGATGTACTATTCTCTGAAAAAAGTAACTAGAAGGTTAATGTTCTCTGTTTACGCAAAAATATTTTCTCTGGAATTCAATATTAGAGACGGATAAGAAAAWCTACTAGGCATATACTAGCCGAACACAATGTTCTGATTCATCATCAATGAGCACTCAAGGACAGACTTACCTTTAACAAAGAATGAGAAACCTGTTTCTAGACGCCTAATAATCAAGGCTGAAGTCCAAAAAGTGCTAGTAAATTCTTGGAAAAGTTCTCCAAACTTTCATCAGAGAAAGAAGTTAACTTTTTAGCGGTAACAGTACATGGGTTGCCCAGACGTAAACAGCTTTTTTTCTACTTGAATGAAAGTTCAACGGACATCTGGTCGTGGAGTTTCCGAAGCTTTTTGTCTGCCAATTTACTGTGAGACCATATGYCAGGATAGGCGCTGAGTTAATGGAACAGAGTTTATATGGTTGATTTTTTGTCCGCTAAGCTCATATTATCCTCAACATATGAGCGCGCGCTCCTCGGTAGCCGTGTTTTTGAAACCGTTAACTTTAACGTGTGACTGAGTTCACTCTTGGATTAAGTCTTTGTTTGTGCAAATCATTGAAGCGTTTTTCATTGTATATGCAGAAATTATTATGCATGACCTGACAAGTGCTTGTCGACCTATTCTTTATATGACAACTCCRCAGCGTTCKTGAAGGTTTGCTCTGAAAGCAAAAGTTAATTCATGTAGCCTGCGTGTAAATCCGTTCCCACCCCTCCCCCTACGAAAGATTCAAATACATACCTCACGTGCTAGTTGATCTAGGGACTCTTTTAACTTTAATAAGAGATTAATTTATGATAATGCGCTTYGAATCCCTCTCCTATTCAATATGATATTACTAATAAAAGATATTTAGCAGTGCAATAGTTCGGGCCACGATATGCGCCATGATTCTCACCAAGAAAGGAAATCTATAACAAATCACTTCTGAACCAAATGGGGTGTCAACTAGTCCTAGGTCGTCTATCAAACGCACCGAGGTCTATCTAGTTTAAATTCCGATAAAAAAAAGAACCACGTGGTATTTAAGTTGTTTATAAACTAAGTTTACTCTTTTTTTATTATCTCAATAGAAGAATTCTTGGAATAAAAATATAAATGCGATTTTTTTTTGAAAAAGTGGTTATATGAGCGGTAGCCCTGCCACAAGTCGACCACACTGGGACACTGATATTTCGAGCGACGTAGTCGCGAGACGAACGCCGAAGGCGTGAGCGCGAGCGACGGAGTCGCGAGTGGTCGTTTTCCGGGAGATAAGCGAACCAGGAAAAACGGACTTTGAGAAAGTCTACTCAAAGACTAGAGTGCAAAGTTGATAACTAAATCTTATTTAGCACTACATAGTTAAGAATTGTTTCATGCTTATGTGACGTGCACTCTAAAGGAAAGGCTATTAAAAATTTATTTTTATAAGAGATCTATATTCTTATCAAATGCATGTACAGTAGGGACAGTAGGGACAATAGTTTATAATATTTCGGAACTCTCACTAATGTATAACGACTGTATAAATGATATCTTTTAATACTAGCTWCTTTAGATAAATTTCTGCGGGAATGAAAATTTCACAAGGATATTCTGTATCTTGAAAAACCCGGAATAGGACGTCTTGATTTCGCGTATTCCCTAAAACCTTCATAAATAATAAAATGAAATGTCGGTAGGTTGCAAGATGGTATCATTATAATTTGTTGCTCTAGAGGGGGCGATTGTGGTCATGGATTTGAACAAATSAGAAAGTATATATTCATTCCCTGATTATAAATATTTTTTATAATTAATTATATCATTGTTTGTTTTGGCAGTGATTTACAGTTATTGATCGATTGTGTATATTGCCTTGCACGGGAGAAATTGTCTCAGTTTTATCAGTGAACATGGTCGTTGTTCGGTATCCCTGTGTCGTCTYCAGCAAATTCAATTTGAAGTGTACAGTGGTATAGATCGTACTTCGAAGAAAGCGTTTTGGATGCATGTCTAAGTATAGCATTCGAGTTGGCTTGAGAATCTGCAATGAATGGATTTGTTTTATTTGATGCAATTTGCAGTTAATCTTATCCCACCCCGTCCAGTTCCAATCCATCTCATTCAAATCAGAATAAATCCATGTAAATTTAATTCAATTCCATTCTCAATTCCATTACTCGACATCGATTCGATTCAATTSAATTCAGCTGCAGAGAGAATGCAAGTTATAACGTGCGTGACCATACCTGCAACAAGGTGTGCTGATAAGGCATTCCGTCCTGAAGTTATTGCCCATACATGAACATTATGATAACTAGTCACGTGTTTAATGGAACTTAAATCCCTGTTGACGTCAGCGATGCTAATACTCCGTGGCACACCTGTGGGATGAAAACCAATTTTAAATTCGTGACATTTCTTTTTGAGTACGAGGGATGACAATTATGAAGTATGCGTCCTTCTCCCTTAATGAGCCTGATTAAAACCATCGAAAACTAACACGAGAAAGCCCCAAAAATATGGTATATGATTCACAAAGCTGGAATGGGCGCGGACATACTTCGAATTTTCAACACCACTGTTTTTGTCAGTATTAATCAACAATAGAAAAGAAAAAGAAAAAGTAACTTGCAAATTGTCCTGGAAATTCGTAAGGTAAAAACAATTTGATTACATGACACACCTTCGAATAAAATGTTGATCGAATCACGTACAACACAAAATGTACTCGCAACAACAATGACAGCTCCTAATAGACCACAAACTGCATCTGCATTTTGCCACTCGGGCTGAAAGGAAAACGAAATGGAATTAAGTATAATAGATAATAGTTCCCCAACTAGAGAGAAAAACCCTTGAATTATATTGCATTCTCTCGCAACTAGATTCATGCTGCATTAGAAAGTATATGGAAATGATACTCCTCAGGCTCCCTTTTCCGACAACGACGATCTACGAAAGTGAACCGCAAGTTTCCTRTCCACATGCCACGCCCTTAGTTAAAAGCGACATGCCCATTTTGAATCAACACAAACGGTTCCATTAGCCTTTCTTTTAGAAAACCGCTTAATGGGATTCATGAGACGTGGTTCATTCCTACAAGTCCGTTGTTCGAGTTTCTTTCAATTAGTCATGACGACGTCTACACCKTGCAAAACTCTAGAGCGGATTTCGTATATGAGTGGGAAACGGACGGTACTGTACTGTGACCGTAATCGTACTGTAACCAAATTCTAGTGCCCCATTGGTTGACCAAAATTGTGAAGGCCAGGTCCGGTAACTGTGCGGTAATCGTGCGGTAACAGTGTCCCACTCTTACGAAATCCGCTCTAATCTGTCCCACAATGAACCGCAGTATGCACATTACGATATTCAAAACGTCACCTTAAATTTAATAATAGCACCAGCAAGAAAAACGGTAAAACTGTAAATGGCATCGCCGACGGTATGAAGAAATGCTGCTTTGACGTTGATATTTTCCTCGGCATTCTTGTTACTATGGTTATGTCCACCATGACTGTGTTGATGKCCAACACCACTGAGCAGGAATGCCAGTCTAAATATATCAATTGAGGTCTTCAGTCAATTTGTTTAGAGTCAGGGTACAGTTAGTCTCCTTGCAGCAGTGTTTAGCTTCGGCCACGCGTCACGTAACCTCTCAGTTGCRTGACGCGCGACCGAAACTAAACACGGCTGCCAGGAGACTAGGGTACGATCTGGGATCAAAGTTTTTCTCAGAACCTTGAACGCTGTTATATTTTTGATGCATTGCGCACCAYAGAAACGTCAGCCAGGTTGAAATCACGGTCTTAAAGATCAATATTACTCGGACAATAAAAAGGAATGATTTTAAAGAACATAACACTTACAATATATTTGCCAAGCAGGTCATTCCTGACGTAAGCATCATGACGTCAGCATTCACAAAAGGTGAATGACCATGAGCATCTGCGCCTGTAAGCCGAAGAATTGCCTCGTACACGAGCACTCCGGTCAGCAGCCACARCATTAATATTACTGCGCATGCTCCGATTATTTCTGAAAGAAAATCATAAGAACTACTCAGCTACAAAAAGAGTAAATAAAAAAGTAAATGAATATAAATTTAATAAAATATATGATAATGTTATCTTGCAAACATCCTATAAATTCATTCAAGGTCATACCAACCTGCCCTGAAGTAGCCGAACGTTTTCTTTTCGTTTGGTTTCCAGCCAGCGATCCAAGCCGCTACTAAACTCGTCAAAATACTATTGAGATCAAAGACTTGATGTAGAGCGTCGTTTAAAACAGCCAGGCTGTTGGCTATAAAACCTCCTGTATGAAAAAGATTATTACACGAATGAAACGGACCATCTAAAAGGCTAATTTAATTTACATTGATTTGCACTAAAAGTAACGTCAACACTTAACTCTTTTTGATATTTAGTGAATGATTATTTTAAAGTCTGAAAAATCATCTGACGCGGTGTTAAGCAACAGAAAAAAATATTTGCATATGAACGGTGATCATTTTAAGCACTCACAACTCGCGTTCTAAACTTTCCATATATGTATGGGATTTTCGAAGCGTTTTTTTAATTGTTTTTCAGTCCATTGAAGACGAAGGGCACTGCAAAAAGCAAATCACTTTATTCAAGTTTTTCAGGTTGTTGGCTGTAGACGCCATTTTGAAAATGTCAAACTATTGTGAAAGGACGTATAATAGAGAGATCACGATGATTTCTTTTAATAGAAAAATATAATAGGCTAGAAGAGAAATGACATCGTAGTAGGAGATTCAGATTAAACGTTTTAATAAATGAGACATTTGAAAGCGCTTTTGTAACTCTAGTTCTAAATATGCAAAATGGCGTCGTTTAAGGGCAATGATTGATGTGAAATCATTAACTTTGGAACAGCTGCTTAGAATGTACACTAAATCCACAGTTTATTATAACCCACGTTGGCCATTTACATTGTCTTTCCGGACTGTCATATTCAGTGACTGTCTTAAAAAAGCTGCTAAGGCTATTCTGTTATAAATACGAATTCCACTATGAATTAATAATGAAGCGTTGATACTTTTGACATGTTGGTATCTAACTCATCTTAGATCAAACAGATATGTTAAATAGATTTTGAATTGAAAACCATTTATATAGCTAAATCCTTAGTTTCCTGAGATCATTTAATATAGAATTATAGTTCGCCTAAGTTTTATCTAAATCATATCATCTTTGGAAAAGGTCAAGGGTATTATTGTTGATACCTAAAACTTATGAATTTGTTACGTGTCGTCATTTAGCTTCAGCTTAGTCTTAAAATCATTTGTTGAATCAAAGCTACTAGTCACTGTAAGGATGACAATATCATGCTGAGATAGAAATAGATAGCAATAAATATCCTAAAACCAAATAGAAATACTGAATTAATATCTAGAGAGARCAACCTCAGGGATTAAAAAGTTATTTCGTTCGAAAACGTAAACGAAAACGTAAAAAAAGTTGCAATTTCCATTATTTCATCTGGCGACTTAATCACAGTCTAGTGCAGTCTCGAAAATTTATATAAAATCTTTATTACATGATAACCTTGAATTATTAAGATTTACAAGATCTTGATTACAGTAAAACTAAGTATTCTCCTGGTTTCAAAAATATTATAGCTTCCCGATGTTTGTTTTCAATGCATCTTTATTAGCACAGCGACTTTGACTTTCGAAAGGGAATCGCTACAGTTGCTAGGTAAAATGAATTTCGCTTTTAAAAATGATCAATTTSCATTTTACTGAAGTGAATAGGTTCTTAAAGTAAGGTGTACAGACTTCAAATGAACCTCACAAGTTCAAAAACACTTAATTGAATGACAAAATTAAAATTATGAACTATATCATTTATACCTCAAGGATTGTTCATCATAGATATTATATTGTTCAGATTCAAAACGGGAAACGTCYAATTAAAAATATGCCAAAAATACATGGCTGCTTGATCTTCCTTGAAATATATATACACTTTTGAATATAGATTTTGCTATTACTTTGTAAATAAGAGTTATTATCGTTTGTTACTTCAAAAATATCATATTTAACGTCCATTTAATTGCCCGGGAAATCACATAGAAAAGGAACAAAATGGAAATGAGTTTCCCCGAGAATCAAATTAACTGGAATTAAACTCAAACGCCGTTTACTAGTCAACAATGCTTTTCTTACCAGTCACTTCACAGACAATGAAAAACACGCAAAATAATACTGCAGCTATAAGCCTTCGTTTTCCATCTCGTAAGCCGTTGTGTTCKGGTTGACATGGGAATCCACACGGTTCTTCTACGTCTGACACAATTTTTGTGTAGTCGTTGTTGCGAGGTTTTGCCTTTTTCTTCATGTCAAACATGCTCGTCTGAAAGAATTTACTTATATTCGTTTTAAAAGATGAGGTAGCATTCAGCAAACAAGATGCGGGCATACACGTTGAAGTCTAAACTGAAACTTCGCGTCATTAGCCAATCAGCGAAGCTCAACCACAGATGTTGTGTACTCAGATGAACAAATGACACTTCAAACAAAAGGGATTATATGAACAACACTGAAAGTCTTTTAAAGATCGATACTGAAGAAGGATTTTATGCTGAGCTGTACAGCTAGATGCAGCAACCGATTATATCATCGAGAAATGCAACATTATTTTAAGTTTAAGACCGGGGGGAGGGTACTGCCTCCCCAACTTGGGTGGGGGTGTGCCGCACGACTAACAAAACCCTTACCCTATACCAGACCAATGTTTTTGTGATTTTACATCAGCCCTACCCCAGACTAGAGGTACAAAGATACATTATTTAGCGCTCAAAGCGTGGCCTAGCAGATACGATCACAGGCAAAACTCCACCCTATCCCAGAAAACGAGACTATACCCTGTCCTAGACAAAAAACAACCATATCCCAGACAAAACTACTACCCTAACACAGACAAATGGGTAAAAAATGATACCCTATCCCAGGCTTGGAGCTCCGAAAAAGGGACCCTATCCTGCGGCACATACCCGTATAGCAAATATAGGGTAGTACCCCTCCCCCCATCCCGGGGTCTAACACTCACAAAACGCCTTCGGCCTGAGTGACATAATTGTCTGTTTCAACGGTTTAATTTCTGAATGAATTTGAGCAAATTTGTGGGCTGGACAAATTCTTCTGGAAGCCGGACTAAATTTCAAAATGAACTACGTAGATGCTCTTAAAACGTTACTTAGGGTTACCGGACAGAGTAGAAATGGAAAGAACTCTAAAGTTTGAATTCAGCATGAGGAAAGGCAAAACAATTGATAAAAAACTGAGAAAGGTAGAAAAATTAGAAGAACAAGAAGAAGAGAAGAAAGCAATATATTATCGTATCGACATACCTAAAATACATCCTATTATCATAAGCAAAAATAGCTACACTTACGTAAAAAGATAAATTTAACACCGTAAAAAAGTAGGTGAAAAAAAACAACAAACTATTAATTCACGTTTCGGACGCCTTTAATTAAAATCCTTTGTCGGAGTAAATCTTGGATAACAGATCTGAGCATTCTTTAAAAAAAAAAAATAAATCCGTTACTCCGGTTACTCTGTGATCATCCAGGTTTGCATACAAATTTTCAATTCAAAGACTCCAGAGCCTAATGCGGTGAATTTTATAATTTTCTCGTGCAGTAATTCCCTATTAAGAGTATTATTCATTACATACATCGGCT